CTTCTTCTTCTTCTTCCTCTCCCCCCTCTGCTTCCCTCTCTTCTTCCTCCCCATCTTCCTCCCTCTTACTAACTCCGACCCGTCCCGCCCTCGCAAAATCAATCATCACATACTCAACCTCCCCACCACCCCGTCCCGGCCGGGGGCGCCGCATAAAATTGCCTGCATGGACATCCCCATGCAGCACCCCCGCCACCCTATGCAGCGCGAGCAACACTCTCAACAACCGCTCCCTCAAAACCCCCTGCTGGTCGCGCCCCCGATGCTTGACCAGATCCGGGCCAATACTCTCCAGCCTCTCCATGCGAAATCCAAAAATGCTGCCGTCGGCGCTGTCGACCAGCGGTTCCGGATGTACCCTGACAACCGGCAGGTCAGGGTACTGCCTGTTCAGCGAGCGAAGGATCTCAAACTCGCGGCCGACTGTGGCGCGCTGGGCGGCGGAGGAAGCCATTTTTATAATGGGGAACTCCTGCCCCTGTTCCTGCCCCTGACCCTGCCCCTGCCCCTGCTCTTGCCCGTCCTCAGTCGAGTCTATCTCTCTTATATGCCCATCTACCCCCTTCGTCAGCAGGCGCGAAGCCCGCCAGATTCGCTCGACCTCAGGGGAATGCGGGACGCGGGAGACGGTGACGGACGGATCGTGAGGGAAGAGGGGGAAGCAGGAGAGGTCCGGCTGGGTGTCGCCGGTCCAGGAGATGCAGAATTCCTGACGGTCGAACTCCGCGTGTTGCGACCACCGCGTGCGGGTGCCGTCGAGGTCTTGGGGAAAGACGGATAGCCAGGCGATAGAATGAGGCATGGTGAATATAGGTTGTGTAGTTTTTTTAAGAATGGGGGTTCGTAAATATGATGGGTAGCGAGGAGGAGGGTATTGAATAAGCGGTTAGGGAATAGGGGAAGAGGAGGAGTTGTCAAGGATTGGGAGGAGGGGTGGGGGGGGGAGAGAGAAGAGAGAAGGATAGTCTATATTTTACGGTTAGGATAGGAGTATGGGAACGAGTTTACAGTATCACATGAAGATCAGACCTCATATTGACGCGTTTTGATGTGTTTCCATACATCAGTCTTTGTATCCCAAGGCAACTCTGGGTCTCTAGAGTATCATGGTGAACGGACTGAGCACATGATGCTTTTCTCCTTTTCTATTCAGAGCTGCGTCACTCCAACAACCGTGTACCCTAAATGAACCAGGAGAGCATAATTTGGTGAAGGACTCTGCATCTATGACCTAGGGGCTCATTAAAACTTCGTAGTAGTAGTAGTAGTAGTAGTAGTTGTTGTTGTTGTTGAAAGCATAGTGGGGTTGTCAAATGATGAATGATGGTCATTATGCAGTTGTGATGGCATCTTGACCCGTGGATACCTGCTATACAGCTTACACAACTAGGCAGGATTAACGTCTCCAACGCGTTTTGTGTGTTGGCAGGTAAACTCGTAGATAGGGCACAACATAGGTTCCTCATTCCATTGATAACCATGTTCAAGTCAAATCAATACAAAATCCACTTTATGTGCGCGGAAGCCCCGAAACTCCTTTACCTTACACTATCACTACCAGTGTGGTGGTTATGTGCTGCCCACATCACTTATCCAGCCAGAGAAAAAAAAAAAACAAAAAAGCCACCCTTTTCTCTTCTCCGTCGGCACCTCTATGCCTTCGAACATTCATTCCAGCTATCTATCTCTAATGTCGGTAACTAGTTTTCTCCCCCCAAGTAGCTGGTATCTAAAAAAAAAAAATAAAAATAAAAATAAAAATAAATATAGAAAAAAAAGTCATTTCAAGCCACAAAGATTCTACCTAACCCCATAAAATGCCTAAAATGCCTAAACCCTATGTTCACACCCCCAACTTCCCCCTAGCCAGCCTCAGCAACCCACTCGCCGCTCCACCCTCTTCATCAAACTCCTCATCTTCATTCTCACTCTCACTACTACTACTACTACTATTACTACTACTACTACTACCACTACTATTATTACTACTACTATTCCCCAAATCAGTAAGCAACTCCAGTCTATCCCGTCTCCTGATATTCACCCCCTCACTCTGTGGTGCAGCCCCTGCCGAAGGGGACCCTGCCCGGGCCGGGGCGGGGGTAGACACCGACGCCGGTCCGGCGTAGCTTGCCCTTCGGGGGACGAGGTGTCCGTACCGAGATTCTGATTCTTCGGTGATGCGGGGGAGGGGATCACTTTCGCCGCGGGGGTAGTACCGTGACGGTTGTGGTCGGTGAGAAAGCCGGCTGCTGTGGGAGCGCGAATGTTGCACGTAGGCGGGGTGAGCCTGGTATTGATGATGGTACTGCGCGTAGCCGCCCTGATACTGATACGGAACCGAGTTTCTCCTCACCGGGGCCTCGGGCAGCGGGGTCCTCTTTGGTGTAGCAGCCACCATGAAGGAGCTTGAACCTCCCGTGTTAGGGGGCCGGTATTGGCCTGACCCTGCCTGAGGATGCCAGGCCTGGGGGTGAGGATGGGCATGGGGATGTCCGCGGGGGCTCGACGATTGCTGGTTCTGCGGCGTGGGAAGAAATTTCTTTTCAAGCTGCTCCAGGGGAACTTCGGTCTGGCCAGTACGGACTTTGTAAGACGCGAGCCCCAGGCGAAGACGGAGGATCTCAGCTTTCTGAGCAGTGCTGTCAGCAACCTATTGGACATGTTGGTGAGGTGTCTGAAGGAGTGAGCGCATACCTCACGGCACTGTTCACGCGTCAGGCGTGGTTTTTGTGGTTTTTCGACAGGGTAGCTACTTTTGGCCGCGATATATGGCGCGGGGCGCGGGATGTCTGGGATGCGGGGCACGGCTATCGCGGGCGCAATAGCAGAGGCTGGTGCCGCTGGAGCGGCAGCAGTTTCTGGTTCGGTGAGGACAGTGGTGTCATTTGCGGCAGTGGCGTCGAAAACGGAGGGAGATTCAGGAGAGGCGGCACGAGACCGGCCGGTGTCGATGATGGTCGAGGGAATGGACGAGGGAGGAGGGGACTGGGACTAGACAGATCCAGACAGAGTCAGCATACATACACACACACACACACACACGTTCGTCAAGAGTTGATGGGCATCCTGGAGGAAAGATGTACCTTAACACTCTCCTGAGCGCCTTGCTGCCCCTCCGCACTCTGCTGCAAGCAAGGCCTCTTCGCGGGGGGTTCCACGACCTCATCTCTCTCCGCGTCCTGACGCGACGACTCAGTCACAGCCTGTTGCGAGACAGGACTAGGCGAGCGACGCTTCTTAGGGGACTCTTCTGCTTCCATATGCTGCTTCTGTGGCTGTCGCAATTTCCTCGAGGGTGACGCGTTCTGCTGCTCTATTGTAGGAGGGGCAAGTTTCATCTTGATCGGGCTCCGTGGCAGCTGTTGCTTGGTGGGTGATGCGCCAGCAAGCTTCAAATCTGTGCGACGGCAGGCCTTGGGCGAGGCGGCATTGGGGTTCAACTCGCCAAGGACGCGCCGCTTGGCTGGCGAGGTTGGTGCATCCATTGATTCTGTGAAGATGAGACCGAAGGATGACGAAGAGAACGCGGCCGCAACTTTTAGACGGCAGGCAAATGCGGGGAGCTGCTTTTCCTTTCTCACGCAGGTGCAGCAACAAACAAAAAATAAGCATGCACAGAGGGAACAGACCAATTGATTCCCTTTGTGCCAAGTGTAGGGGGGATCAGTGGTGATGACGTGGTGGTACGTGTACGTGAGAGGAAGAAGAGGTTCACAAAGGTGAGCACCTCTCGAAGTTAATTAAAGATGCCAACCGGGACCACACAACAGACGCGTCTTGCAGAGTGGACGTGGATGGTGGGATAGTGGGACCCGGCCTGGGGACAGTCAACGGACCAACATGGATCCCGAACACCAGAAAATGGGGCAAAGTTGACTGGAGACAAGCTTCATCCTCCATCCACCAAACTCCATAACACACACGCGCGCGCGTCTGCATCTGCGTGCGTGCAGGAAATAAAGGTGGCAGGCGTGGCAAGTAAAAATGGAGACCCACCCCCCCTGGTTCCTGTCCACATCTCCCCAAATTGGGAAACTTGTAAATACGCGTCGTCCGGAGAAGAAGAACAAGAAGAAAAAGCGTGTAGCGCGTCTCACTACCTAACCCTAAGGGTTAGCTGTGTGGCAGGCGCCTAAAGAACGTCGCAAGCGCGCAAGCAGATCGGCTTGGCAAGGGTCCTGGTGGGGCTCCCGCCACTGATCACGTCTAGTGTGGAGAAAGGGGACATGGATGAGCGCGCCGTGGTTAGGCAGCTGAAGGACAGCTTGTGGTGAAGTACTGGAGCTTTTCGTGCTGAAAATGAGGCATTGATGTCATGAGCATCCCATTGGAAGAGCTGGAGGCGAGATTCTTACTTGAGATGAGGTCAATTTTGCGGCGTGGCCGAAGCTGAGGGTGTGACGCAAGGCAGACATCCTCGCAAGCCATACACACCGCACGCGTCTGACAGGGGGTTCTCCAACTGGACTGCCCCACTTTAACTTTGCGACAACCGGCTGCGGGCGGAGAGAGCTTCGTCAAATTAATGGCTGCGCTTCCCGACGCTTCTTCATGCTGGCCGGCAAATCTCCAAGGGATAGGATGATGTGTAAATCAATATGTGAGGATCTTCAATTTTGTACCTGATCATTAATAGAGTAATTTGGGATGCCTCAACCCAAATATCGGCTGAAAGCTCAGCTATAATTACGAGGTAGAAAAACAAAAGCCAACGAAACTTCGGACATAGTCACCCAGTTCAAACAAAAGAGCAACTTTCAAACTATATAAACATTCCATTTACTTACGTAGCTTGATGATAAGCACATGATATGAAAGGGACTAAATTTGAACACTTTGACAACCAACAACCATCAATAAACAAGCCAAAAGTTAACACATCCCATCACGGAGGACATGACTTGACTCCTTTTGTTAGGTCAAGAATACGACAAACACTAGCCCTGACGGACAGCTCAAGCACCACAAAAAAAAAAATAAACCAAGCAAGCAAATACACATATGAACCATTTCAAAAATCCATTCCATTCCGCTTCGTTATAGCTCAGCTTAGCCCATACGTACGTCGGTAGGTATATGAATCAAAAACAAAAACAAAACACGAACAAAGAACTGAAAGTAAAGAAGAAACGAACCAAAAACCTCCCTCTCTTATCCTTTCTTCCGTAAGACCAAGTAACCATCCGTTCCTCCATCATTCCTTCCGAGTCCCATAACCCAGGGTCCCGAAGTCTTTAATAGCAGCACGTAGTATTCCCCTGTCCACCCTACCAGGAAAATAAAAACAGAAAGAGAATAGATTCCTCACTCACTCCATCCATCCATCCATCCATCCATCCATCCATTCATCCATATTGTGTGTTGCTGTGTGCATGTCTCTCTGTGCAGTGCAATGTACTTTGCATAAGTCGCGTTATGTCCTCTTCCTTCCCCACCCAGAGCTTTGCTCACCCTGACCTAGGTGTGTACCCTACCCTACCAACCAGCCCCAAGAATAGAAAGAAACCCCCCAATGATGCAATGCCCTATGAACATATCGACATGCATGCAATTCCTAAATTCAGCAGAAGAGCAATCATTGCCTGCGTTGCACTGCGTTCCGCGTTGCGGTTGCATAAACTGATGAGAAACCCGTAAAAATGGAAAATTGGAAACGGAAAATAGAAAAAAAAAAAGAAAGAAGAAGAAGAAACCGCCAAAAGCCAGCCCGCCATTCCCTTCTTTATCGACCCATCTACCGAACCTCCCCCACTCAAACTTACTCAATGACCATAACCTCCGGCTGCCCCTGCCCCTGCCCCTGCCCACTTTCCTGCTGTCCCTCCCCCAAAGTCCCATCCAAGAACCCAAACCCCTTATCCAACTCCCTCCCAAAGTCATCCAGCGAAAAATTCGCCGAGTCCACGCCCCAGGGATCCTCCACAAACTGCGAAATATCGACCAGCCCGCCCGCGTTACCACTCGAGCCGCCCATCGATCCAGCCGCGCCATCCATCGAGATGTTATTAATATCCATCAGCAGGCCATCGTCAATGTTACTCCAGAACAGGTCAATCTCGAGGTTGGCATTCTCATTAATATCACTGTTCGGCTCCGACACGCCACTATCCTTGCTGGACGAGCTCGACTCGGGGGTATCCTTCGGCGTCGACGAGCGGTAAGCCGCAAAGTCCGTAATGATGCTGCCCGAGATGGTGGCAGTACCGGCGTCCAGCGTACCACCAAGGTTGGCGAACAGATTCGCGGGGTCAATCGTGCCCTGGGGCCAAACATCCTCCATCTGCTGCGGGGTAGCACCCTCCTTGCCCTTACCACCAGCGGACTTACCAGGCGTAGGCATATTCTCCCCAGGCTTGCCGCCGCTAGCGCTGCCCTGGCGCTGCATCGACAGGTTGCGCGACATAGGCGTCGCAGCCTGCAGCCGAGGCGTCTGGCCCTGCTTGGAGAGGCTCGCGCTCATGGGCGGAGCCGTCGGAACAGGGGTTGAGACGTCCTGGCCGCTAGGTTTGGGAGAGGCCTTAGCGCGACCCTGCGCATCGAGCGCCAGCACCGACGCCATCTGCTCCTGCATAAAGGCCAGCGGGTTCTCGGCCGGCTTGAGGTGCTCCTCCTGGCGGTGCGCGTTGAGCGCTTCCTCCGAGGGGAACGCTACCAAGCTGGTGCAACCCGGCTCGGGGCACTTGAACTGCGGAGCAGGCGGCGCTTGCGGCTGCTGCTGCTGCTGCTGCTGTTGTTGTTGTTGTTGCTGCTGCTGCTGCTGTTGCGGGATCTGGGCCTGGGGCTTAACCTGCGGCTCTGGCTTCCGTGTGGCAACCGGCGAAAGGGCTTGCACCTGGGGCGAGCCAGCAGCAAGCTGCTGGTTGGCAGACGGTGATGTTTGGTTCCCACTAACCTTGGGCTTCTTCCTTGGCGGCAGCACCAAGTTGGCGGCCGTCAGGCGCTGATCGCCAAAGTACTCGGGAGCGGGGGCCGGAGTCGGTTGGACACCTGGCTGAAATTGCTGTTGAGCAGGTTGAGCAGGCTGATGAGGTTGCTGCTGCTGCGCAGGAGGCTGCTGGACAGGCTTGGGCGGAGGAGGAGCCACGCGCTGCTGAGCTTGTCGTAGAGCGGCGGCCTGCTGATTCGCCAGAGTCGCGGGGGTCGGTTGCGTCGTCTGTTGCTGGGTCTGCTGCTGCTGGTTCATCATAGCGGCCTGCTGCTGGTTGACCCTAGACATCATCATATCACGCAGCATGCTGCCCAGGAGGTTGTCGTACTGGTTGAGCTCTTCCTTGGTGATCGTAAAGGTATCGCGAAGCTGAGTCATGGCCTCACCGTCGGTGAACTGCTTGACCACCTTGAAGCGCTGTACATAAAAGTCAGTACATGAAGATTGAAAAAAAAATTAGAAAATCACATACCCCTCTGAAGAATTGGCGAGCCCGATTATCATCGTTGGTCAGGTAGTACCACTTGGGCAGCAGGCCCATGCTCCGGATCTGATTCATTTTTAGCTTTACCTGGGCGATCTTCTCGCGTGTCTCCTGCTGGTCAGCCGGCGTCATCAGGATTGGCTGCAAATGCTCCTTAGATACTTCCAGCTGTGCCTCTGAAGCCAGGTTTCTGAGCTTCTGCAACTCAGGAGAGAGCTTCGGTGGTTCGCCGGAAGCCGCATTCGGAGCATTGGGGGCGACCTGAGCAGCCTGAGAAGGCGCGCGCTGCATGGGAGTGATGTTTTGCTGAGCAGGCGTGTCTTCTGCGCTATCATCGGGACTCGGCCTCTTGAGGCTTTTGGTAGCCATGGCGGGAGAAGGATCCATGGGTGCTTGCCGAGAGTTCTGGGGCGGCTGTGGCACCTGCTGCTGCTGCTGCTGCTGCTGCTGCTGCTGCTGCTGCTGCTGCTGCTGCTGCTGCTGTGGCGGCGGCGGCTGCGGTGCCTGAGGCTGTGGCGCCGGTTGTTGTTGCTGCTGAGGCATCGAAGGCCGGATATTCGCAGCTTGCACCGAAGCAGCGGACATGCCAGTCGTAGCCGGAGGAGCGGTGGTAACATTGGCTGCCGGGCTCGGCGTGGGCTTAGGCTGTGCAGCCTGAGGCTGGACGCCCTGGGGACCCTGAGGAGTCGGCGTAGGTTGAGGGCCTTGAGGCCTCGACTGGGCCGTCTGCACAACGGAGGAGGTCGGTTGCGCCGTAGTCGGGGTCGGTGGCACCGTCATGCCCGGTTTCTGCTGCCCGATCAGGGAGCTGTTAGTCGCCTGGTTCTGGGCAGCATTCGACTGGTTGTTGTGGATCTCCCATGCTTTCTTAATGAAGCTCTGCTGCTTGACTTTCCGGATCCACTCTGCTAGTTGGTCGTCTGTGAGGTTCGCAAACTTGGGGTTCTTGCGCAGACCTTCTATGTCTTGCGGGGACACCTGGCTAATGCTTTGGGGCACTTGGACTCCAGGCGGAGGGGCGACAGGCTGATTCATGCCAGCAAACTGCGAAACGGGCACATTGGAAACAGGCTGAGGGATGCCACCAACCGCATTTGGCTGACTAGCCCTCTTCCAAAAGTTCTTGAATTGGAGAATCTGGTAGCTCATGATCCTTTGAACGATTTCGCTGGGGAGGGCATTGGGCTGAGCAGCCAAGAACTGGCGCAGGTGGGCCCACTTCGTGATATTGGGAGGTAGCCTGCCGCCCAGATGCTTGTTGATTTCTTGAAGGATCATCTGGTGAATATCCATGTTGTTCATCATATTCTGGCCTTGAGGGGTCTGAATGATCTTGTAGATATTGGCCATATCAGCAGCATTCGCCTGCTGCTGTTGCTGCTGTAGCGCGGCTGCTTGAGCCGTGGGAGGAACCATAGCGTTGGGCTTTGAATTTTGGTTGAACATGCCTGGCTGGTTCAAAGCATTCATGGGACCACCCGGGAATTGGCCTGGCATTCCTATCACCTGGCCCGGCTTGGGACCTTGAAAGCCGGCAGCGGCCGTGGCCCGCTGTTGCTCTTGCAGCCTCGCCATGAACTCTTTCATAGGGTTGTTATTAGCGTTCATGTTAGCGGCAGCACCCATCCCCGCCATGGCCTGGTTGTTCATATTGCCCTGCATGGATAGAGGTCTCGCGTTGTTCTGGTGATTGAACTGCGCGTTGAGGGTCGCACCGGCCATGGGAGCGTTTGCTGGGTTGACAGGCTGCGTAGTAGCCTGAGTCATGGCGACAGGAGGTTGCCGCATCGGGGCGTTCAGCGTGTTCATGGCGGGACTTTGAGAAGTGGGCTGGGGCCCTGCCACTGTCGTGATGGCGCCTGGCTGACCGGGCATGGTGCGGGGGCCCGGAGGGCGCATGCCTGGCTGAGCTTGTGGGGGTTGCTGAACCGCTGCAGCTGCAGCCGCTGCAGCCGCAGCGGCGGCCGGGTTGTTGACCTGCGGCATACCGAACGGCTGCTGCAGCTGGCCGGGCCGCGGGGTCTGGTTCGGCGCTTGGGGATTACCCGGAGTGGGCTGTGGGGGGATGGCACCCAACTGCGGACCCGCTGTCACAGGCCGGCCAGGAACGGCAGCTGGGTTTGTCGGTACAATCATCTGGCCGGGCTGCTGTGCCAACAAACCCATCTGCGGCTCGTTCGTCAGATTCGGGCCGAGCATGGGGGCGTCTGAGATGGCCGGTTGCTGCCCCAGGGCGTTCATCAGGGCCGGATTCACCTGGCCTTGAGGAGGAACCCCCGGCATGCCAGCGCCCTGGATGCCTTGACGCTGCTGCATCAGCAGCGCTTGCTGAACTTGAGCAACCTGTTGGGCTTTCTGCTGCGCCTGTAACATAGTGGCCCGGAAAACCTGGACGACCTGGTTCTGGAAGTAGAGGTAGACCAGGTCCTTGCCGCTGGCATTAGCCTCGCTGATCTGGGCAGGCGTCAGCCTTTGCTGCATCAGCTGTCGTATTTGCATCTTAGAATTTTCTGTTGTCGAATTGACCCGCCTCATCACCTCTTCGTGGATGCGCATTCTGTCTTGGTTTGACAGCTGATTGAGATCGACCGGGATGGCTCCTGGGCGGGGTTGTCCCATCTGCATAGCGAGCTGGGGTTGACTCGGAGCGTTGGGAAGCATGCCCGGAACGGCCACGTTGATGCCCATTTGTTGGGGGATCACGGGGACCTGGCCCGGATTCTGCATGGGTTGAAACGCAGGTTGTGGCGGTTGAGTCAGGCCTTGCGCAGCCATTCTGTTTAGCATCAGCTGTTGCTGCTGGCGCTGCTGGGCCTGTGCCAGTTGAATTTGTTGCTGAATCTGAGCCTGTCTCTGAGCATCCGTAATCACCTGATTTTGCAGAGCAGGGCCATTGCTCTCTCGACGCTTCATTACTTCAGAGATTTTCGCTGCCATTGCTTGATCATACGATGCCTGAGAACAATGAGTTAGCCAGACGGTCTTTGTTGATGGATGAGATGAGATGGCAAAGGAACCAGATAAGTTACCTTATCTTGGGCGTTCTGAAATATTTGTTTTTCAAGGTTCAGTGCCGCGACGGCGCACCGCTGGGGGTCACCGCCGTTGCTGGCAAGCATGATGTTGGTGTATCTATCTAAGCGTTAGTGCCACGAGCCAGGACGCAAGGAAGGAGGATACAATGAGCATACAGGATATGCGTCTTTTGAAAACGCTCGCTAAGAAGCTGCTGGGGAGGAATTTGGGCTTGCCATGTCCCCGGGAGATTCGTGCCGGATCCTCTGAGATTATTGAGAATGAAAACGTTCATATATTGTTGATTCGCTGCGATAGCCTGTTGTTGGGCTTGCTGTTGCTGTTGCTGCAGCATAGCCATCTGGCCATTGGGGAACTGGGGGATGTTGGCGGCCATGGCCGCGAGCGTATAGGGTAATCAGCCACGTACGGGCACCGCTAACTGTCCCAAGAGATGGATGACCGGTTGTTATGTCCGCGAACGATGCGAGAGGGTTTGGAAAAAGGTGCGCGCCGGCCTGAGTTGCAGAGTGTTGAAACGCAGCTTTTCAGCTACCTGAGATGAGGAACAGACTGCTTAATGAGGAGAACCGCGTAGAACTGCCGCATCTGCCGATACGACACTGCTCAGGTTGATGAGGCTGCGCGCTGGATTCGGCGAAGAGACCAGGGAAGAGAGTTTGGGGATATAGAGGTCGACAGGTGGTGGCTGCGAGGCCGTGTGACCAAAGAATTGGTCGGTCTCGAGCCAGAGAATGCGGTTGAGTTGCCTCAAGAACTCAAAGCCGCGTGTCTCAGCAGGATGCCCTATGGAGAGAGAGCAGGGCTAGCAGGACTCCGACTGCAGACCGAAGGTCTGTAGATTGGCACACCAGAGGTTAAGGATCGGAAATCAGGGGGCGGTCGGAGCGTCAGTTATATCCTGGTCGCAAAGCTCGGGCCGCCGAGCAGCAGGAGCTCGAAGGGCGGGAGTACACGGGGATGTGGCTCTGCCCTTCTTGTCTCAAGACCAGGAGAAGATCAGATCGCGGTGAAAGATGCTTCGTGAGAGAGACCCGTCGCCTGTTGTGATCCCAACTCTGGAGCGTCACTGATGCTGAAAGACAGCAAGAGCCGGGTCGATGATCGGTGTGTCGTCAAGGAACAGCACGAAAAGGGTGGGTGCACGCGTCGGGCCTGCTGTGCCCTTCTTGCCCGGGTCGCCGACAAGTCTTCAGATGGATCGCAGAGATAAGACAGACAATAGGCTCGCCAGTTGTTGCGATCCAAACTTGAACAAGGCTTCAACGCCAGATCAACACACAGGCACACACACACACACACACACACACACACACGCACACACGCACGCACGCACGCACGCGGAGAAAGAGAAGCCGAGCAGTCGTGGTTGTGGATGGCCGTCGCCACAGTTCGTCGCCGGAGTCGCAGAGGTCGTCGTCGTCGTCGTGGTGTAGCGGAAAACAGGCCAGAAGCTAAAACCCGAGAGTCGACACTAGAGACAACACGCAAACGACAAGGGGCAACGAGGACTGGCGGGAACAGAGACGGACGGGACGGAACGCCAATGAACGGGGAAAAAACAGTGGAGCGGCATTCAGCACCAAAAGGCACACACAGAGGCGAAACAGAAAAGAGACAAAAAATTGTGCGCTGCCGGCGTGGAGGAGGGGGGGGGAGAGGAAACAGCAGACGATGCTTGCCTCGTGAGGTTGGAATTCGGCAGACGAGGGTGTTGTGCGCGTGAAGGGAAGAAGGAAAGGCAGCCGGCGGCGGTGGTGCTGTGGACTGGTGGTGCGTCCCAGGAAGTGGGAGACAGGATCGGGTAAGAAGAGGGTGGGAAGGAGAAAAGAGAGCAGCACCTGGGACAAGCAGTGGGACTGGGCCCCGGGCCACTGGTGACTGGGCCACGGCCACTTCGCTGCACGCTCTGCGCACTCTGCACTGTCCACTACCCGCTCGTCGCTGGCTGCTGTCCACCGTCGACAGGACTGGTCCTGACTGGCCCTCTTAGGATGATGTGGATGCCCTGCGGACCAATACCCGTCCGCCTTGGGCGGCGGGTGGTGGGGCCCTTTCGGTTGCCCAGAAGCAAGAGCCAAGCCTGACCGGTACTGCACGGGTGCCACATGTACCTGTCACGTACCTTTTGCCTCTCTGCCTCATGCTTGTGCGGCTATCAGCGCTTAACACCGCGGCAAGTTGCCCATCCAGAGCTTCTCTTTGCAACTCCAGAGATGCTGTTGAGAGCACGAAGTGCACATCACAGAGATAATTGATAATGATTGTTCAAGAAGTGAAAGAGGCTCTTTCCACTTTTGTTCTTTATCATAACTTCTATATCGTTCCATACATCTTGATAATTTATTGTGCAAGGAAGACAAAAGATTGCGAAACTGGCTCTGTAATAAAACGTATACAGCTTAAGACTATGAAGACATTGATATTTAATACACTCTCTGAGGATACGATTCATTCAATAACTCAGCCTAAACCAAGCTGGTTTGTCCAATGACAAGGCTCAAGTCCCAACTGTTAGGCACCGAAGGCCTGCCTCACCAAGCACCAAAACATGCTTGTGAGATTGATGTGAGAGCTAGTATCTGCCTTCTCTCTGCAGACGATAAAACACTTTAGCTACATCAAAACATTTTCCATATCATGCACTGCGGCACGCAAAACTATCCACTCTTTGCAAATGTATTTGCTGCCCTCGGCTAACTCTCTGGTGTCTCAATGTTGGAAGCGCGGCATGGGACAGCCTTTCCCTACTACCCATCGGCGCTTGTCACGGCTGCATATCACAATCCACTCCAACCGGGGCGGGCACCGAAGCTGCGGTACCCAACCGGTACACAGCTGGGTGTGGTTGGTACGCGCGCAGGTACCCACAGCTGCACCCCTGCTCAATCTGCCAGTGGCTCGTTGATGACGACCAGGGGCTGCCCGAGAGGGTGAGTGAGAGACGAGAAAAGCAGGGCCTGAAAATCACTTGGGTGGCCTGCCAGCCTCGGGAAACCCGCAAAGCTTGTTGGAGACCTTGGAGCCTGCCAAAACAACAGCCTGCGATCTCTGCGCTCTTCGCTCGCAACACTATCTAGCCATTGCTGTTGCCAATGCTCCGCAAGTGCAGTCGCGGAGAGCTTCCATAACAAAAAAAGTCGGGTCTTAGGCCTCACAGGCCGCCAGAGCCCGAGCGCACAAAAAAAAGGTACCAGGTCCCTAGAGAAGAGCCCCCAGGGCTTTAAGGTCGCCTGGCGATGGCGCGCTTAAAATGGTTGGATGGTTAACCCCACTGCCGAACCGGTGGGCGGGCGTGTGGGCTGTCCGCTCGATGAGGTGGGCATTGACTGACTGGGCGGTCAAACCGTCAGAAGGTTGACAGAAAGACGGAAGTCTGCCCACTCTGGGCCGGCCATCTGACTCTATGAGCTTGTATCCTGGTGATAGTTGACTATCCTTGGATGTTTCTCATCAGCTCGACACCGTTGCTCTCGCCGTCGGCCACCCGCAATTCGAGGAAAGAGGGAAACACGAGCCAAGGCCAAGCTGAAGTGAGCCTGTCCAGGTTAGCCAGGTACGTACTCCGCTCCCTACAACCAGGCAAATCAAGATGAGGTCTGCACGCTTCTGCGTGACCGGGGCGGAATCCGACTGCTGGCTGCCAGTTGCAAAACCGTCAAAACCGTCACCGATCCTAATTATCGTTACGTTGCCTGGTTCACCTCGGACACACAACCAACCAGGCTGCTCCCATGTCCACGCCCAAGCCTGCCTTTCCGTTACTTTGATCAGGCAGGGCCAGCGCTCCTCTCATGGCTCCTCGCCGTATGCATAGTTTTTGGCATCTCGACGTTGATGGGTTGAGTTACAACTTGCTTGGCCTTGGGGAAAATTACCGTACCCAACACAACGCCGCGTCTATCTATACAGTGTCATGTACGGTACGAGCGTGCCCCAAAGACCTGAAAGCCCAAGACTGATCCGACTGTCTGGACCAAGCCGCCATCTCCGCCAACTCAGCTCTCTTTTTTTTTTTTTCACTTTTTCTTTTCCACAACCAGATCTGAACCCTTGGCTGGATCAAAATGCGGACCGCGCGCGCGATCTGGGTCTACATCGCTTCCACTCTAGCATCGCGCAACCGCAAACAATAGACATCGACTCCAATACGCCGCATCTAAAGCGACAACTTCGCCAAATCGGACGGCAGTTCCCAAGAGCTGGCAACTGCGCAACAGCCGGGTTGGGCAATGCACAGATGGGGCTTGCAATTCTTGTGCCTCGCCCGATTCTGCCCAGAATTTGAGGTTGTTACCAGGGTTATCCCTGCTCAGCCACTAGAGCCCGTTGCCGTAACGGAGCGTGAGATCAATGGCCAGGGTTCGAGCGGGAGTGGAAGACAGAGAGCAGCAACCAGGACGAACGGGCGCTCAGATCTGGCAGCGAGCGCTACATGCAAAATCAGAAAAAAAAATTGCGATGGATTCCACGCAGTGATGATGAAGACTACATACAGCTCCCCATTTGCACCCACTCGGCAGCTCGCCGAGATCCGAGCCACGGTCGCCGGCTTGGTCTGGCGACGCACCAACCTGAACGTCCATCAGCTTCAGACCGGCTTCGAGATGGTCTCGTCCTAAAAAGCTTCCCCCTTGCGGAGCGGCTCCACTGCGGAGTGGGTATTCACGCATCCAACGAGGGCAGCAAAATGCCTGCCAATGAGGCCCCGTCCGGCGTCCGCTGGCTGATTTCCACGGTGCGTTAAACTACTTTCTTTCCTTGACCACAATGCCCGAGATCCGCATTCTGCCCTGGTATCATTGTATGTGTTTTCGTCTCCTCCAATCTGTTCTCGTCGTGAAAGGTCTACACCTCTTCTTATGCTAGAGCGGGCACCTGGGAAAAAAAAGTTTTGGTGGGGCGAGGGGCAGGCACCCGTTGCCCGCGTTCCCGCCATCCCAAGATTTAAGCTCTGGCCAGGGCCCTTGGCCGTCCGGCTTGGGGACTCTTATGTCCAGTTTGGGACCCACGAGCGCACCCCAACACAAGCCACCCCGTTCAGACCCTGCTTTTTAGAAGACAAACACTTATCAAGTGCCATCAACACATGTTGACTGTGTCCTGTTACAAAATTAACAGCTGGGATGCCCCCATCAAGAGCCCAACAACGCAAAGGCTGTGCTCTGGGTTTGAGTGTAAGTCTGGTCAGTGCCTCAGGTGCCTCAGCACAGCTCTCTGATACTCCACCAGGTTGTTTGGAACTGGTGGATTCTGACTGATCCTCCGCCGTGCGGGTTGGGCATCTGGAGTTTGGCTCTGGTGCGGGTTCCTGGCTCCAGAGCGATCATCGAGTTCCCGTCGAAATGATGCGGTTGATGGTCTACTGCTACGAAA